CCCAGCCCCGGCACACCAGCAGATGGCAACCCAGCCCCACAGACCCCTGCACGGGCTCGAGGAAAGCACAGCCTTTGGATTCCACTTCCACCGCAATTCAAAGGGAATCACCCACCTTGCAATAATCTCACTCACTAACTCAAACCTGTAGCAAATTTGCCACTCTTCCTCATGTCAAAGGAACAATACAAATTTTTATTTTCTTTTTAATAAACAGCATCCTGCACATAGGAAATATGCTATTATGGGAACTTTATATATTGGGTACAATTTATTTTATTCCTAATATATGTAATATGAAATTTAAAAAAAAAAAGGAGCAAAAATTTAGATCATAAAAATTCAGTATTATCTCCTACATCTAAAAAGCATACCCCAGCTTGAAGACCAAAGGTACCACAGTGTGAGGTCTGTCTGTTGCCAGGCTCTCGGCACACACCGAGCCAAGGCCCCAACACCACAAGGATGACCCATTCTCCCCATTCCACTCAGCATTGCCTAATCCACACAGTTTGGGGAACTGAATGTTCACAATAAATCACACCGAGTGTTGTTCCACAGAGGAACTTCTTCAGTTGAGAGTTGTTTCAAATCTTTGCATTTGGGCTTTTCTACCCTCCAGATCATTATTCAAAATCTAAGAGGCTTGGGTTTTTAACCATTTCTTCTAGAACAAGATGAGGGAAAGATTAACTCTCTGGCACTGTGTACAATCACAATGAATATGCAATTATTTCACTTTGTTTCAACTTCCACTCTGTTTGAAAGTAAAGGTAAAACCCTAAGGCATTTGAAATTATCCTGTGAAGATGAGACTGACCCTACAAGGAAATCTTACAAGTCTGGCATCAGAGGACTAACAGAGCACCAACAGCTTAGTCAGCAGCCTTCATCTCTGAAGATGAAGAAATGGCTCTGATCACATCCCATAATATATCCCAGAATATCAGGAAGAAAGTTTACACTAAATAGAACTGCAACCACCCGGCTGAAACCCTGAACCTCATTTACAAAAATTATGTCCAGTTTTTCAGTTCAAGGAGTACCACAAGTTTCAGTTCAGTACTGGAAGCACCTCAGAAAATTAAGAGTTTGTAAGTATTTAAAAAAATAATTTCAAAATCTCTTTCACAAACATATCTAAGTTTCCACTGACAGGCTTCTTCAAACGTTTTCCTATCGCCACAGTTGGCAGAAGGAACATGCATGGTTTCTTATTCCTGGAACATCCCAAACTTTTCCAGGCATTAGATGGTGAGTAATGCATAAGAGACGTAGTCCTAATTAATGGGTTGCACATTATCAGATGTTTCTTTCACAAAACCCTGGAGAGGGTGCTTGAGATGCTCTCTGTGAGGGGCCAGGACATGGGACACACACACACACAGAATCTGTCTTCACAAATAAAGAAGCATTAGTGTAGTTCACACACAGACAGAATCTGTCTTCACAAATAAAGAAGCATATTCAGCATTAGTGTAGTGCTCTAGTTAAGAATCCTGTCCTTAATGAAAATGAGGGGAAAGTCACCCCTTGCCCACCAATAAATGCTGAGCTATGGAATATTAGCACCTTATGGCATTGCTCCTGATAATCAGTTTCATTCACATTGTGTTTTGTCAAAATTAAGAGTTGCAAGAAAGACACTCCCAATCTACCTCTACAACAATCACAACCATCTCTTCTCTTTCCTTTCTAAAATTTAGAAACCCTGATGCTCTCTATGCCTTTCTTCATAAGAGAATGCACCCACATAACTGATCTTTTGCATCACCAGTGACAGGACTCAAGGAAAGAGGATGAAGCTGGGTCAGGAGAGGTTTAGGTCAGGATCAGGAAGGAGTTTTTCACCCAGAGGGTGGTTGAGCACTGGAACAGGCTCCACAGGGTAACAGCTGCAGCACCAAGGCTGTCTGAATTCCAGAAGCCTTTGGACAACACTCCCAAGAATATGGGGTGACTCTTGGAGTGTCCTGCACAGGGCCAGGAGTTGGACTCCATGATCCTTGTGGGTCCCTTCCAACTCAGTGTATTCTAGGATTTTGTGACCTCCCTTAAAAAACCACAGTCCAAGGTCTAGCTCTTTATGAGAGGGTAACATCTCAGACAAACCCCCAAAACAAAGTCAAAAGAAATTTTCTATAAAATTACCCTTCTGTTCCTTAAATGTGCACTCCATACATATTCCCTGCACCCAATTTTTTTAGTGTATTTGGGTCTTGACAGCAGGAAATACCACTGAGCTGCCCACGATGATGCTTTATGTGTTTTCCTCTGATTACTTCCTCGGCTATCTTAGGGATTTAAAGTCTTAAATAGGATACTCCCCAGCAGAATTCAATCTCATAGGATCAGAGCCATTTGTCTTAAGGTAGATGATGAGCTGAAGGTCATCCTCTAAAATCCTCACATATATTTAGAAGGCACACAGATCAGATCAACACCTTTCATTCCACAATGACAGCACTCAGCATTCACGTTGCCCTGGCTTCTTTCTCAAGTCAAGGACCTGGTGGCAACTGCTGTGCAGGCACATTAATCCAGATTATCACACATGTATGAGCTGAAAGATCCTGCCCAACAATAAATTGTGTTTATATAGTTTAGCAAGTTAGAATTTTATATATTCCCAGTTCTGGAGTCATTGCTGATAAGTAGCCTAGCTATCAGGCTTGTTTCAGAAACTGAAAACTAATTTCTCTAGATTTGCTGTTGTTAACTTATTTTTTCACTTTGCAAATATTTTAAAGAGGAAAAGCAATTTAAGCACAGTAAACAATCTGTAGGATTAGTAGTGGTTAGAAAGCAAAAAAACACATTACTGAATGCCACAAAGCAATTTAGCAAAGGAAAATCTATTGATACCTGCAGAACCAGAAAGAGGGAGCAGAAACAATGCACACAGCTTTCCTGGCTTTCCTAAATCACATTCCACTTCTCTCTAGCATTCCAACTACTGCATTATAACAAATAATAGAAGAATTAAATGCTCTAGCAGTCAAGGCTGGCATATTAAAAATCACACTCTGCATTACTGAACTTACTCATCTCTTAATAGGGCTATTCTTCAAAGGAGATTAATTATACTGGCAAGAGACCTTTTGCTATTCTAATTTGTGAAATGTATTTCAATACCACAAGCATATTAAAACAGCTGCAAACATGTAAGTGGCTCCAAAATCTCAGGACTCACTGCATTTAATTAGGTGTTCATCTTGTGATGTTCTTTAGTCACTGCTTTTGAAACCCACTTCACATAAAAATTTGTAATGTCTAGGCTTAATTAACTGCAACTGTAATGAAACACACAGCCCATCATAGAATATACAGAGATAGGAAAGTGACCATATTGTTCAACACCATCACAGAGGAACAAAAATTGGATTTAGAGATGAATTTCTCTGCCTTACTTAGGAAACAGAGAATTTGAAATTATTTTAAAATAACTCACTGGCATTGTGTTTCATACCAGAACATTTGATAGACAGCACAAATTGAAAACACAGGGTATAATATGAGTAATATGCAGAATTGTAACATGCAAACCTCTGCAGCTTGCTGAGCTGCACACAGCTGTTAAGCAACAGCCTAGTACTCCAAATTAAATATCTGAGAATTAGTGCTTTGTTTTAAAGCACAGTTATTTTCATTAACCTAAGCTATGAAGCTTCAAGGCATTTATCTGCCTCTAGAGAACAGGCCTGTGTTTTAACATATTACTTTTCCTAATCCCCCTCAGATAAATACTTCTAGCCAAGTTCATGTGAACATTCTCCCTTTCTGTTACCACTGAATTTAGTACTGGTGAGAACATAAATTTAAGGCAAACACTGAACAGGCACCAACTTAAGATAGAACACAATTAAATCAAATCAGAAGAATTTCAATATAGTAACACATCTGAAAATGTCAAGACTACCATTACTTCATTGTGAAATCAAAATTAGTTGTACCACAAATGTGTGGCTTTTTGAACCTTAAAGATTTAAGTTTCCTTTCATAACCCGGTGGTGCCAAACTGTCTAGGAACCCCAAAAAATTCTCAGGGCTTTATCCAAGATACACCCTTTTACTTAAGGGGTCACTTCTTCTAATCAGTTTTAGAGTGTAACATAAATTTACCCAGTTACTTGCAGCATTATAAGTAGCACACACCAAAATTCCTCACTTGAGTAAAACTTGTTATATAAATAACTCTGTAGATGTTCAGCAAAAAAAAAAAAAATTCAACTTTGGCTTTAATCTACTTTTTACCAACAATTTCTGTTGCATATATGCTTGCTCACAAATAACTGTCTTTTCCTACCCTTGGATTTTTCTTCTCCTCACATGTCACTGATTTTAGATTTTTATAGATAATAAGGAAAATTTACAAACAAAACATGTGTTCCTTTTTGTGTGCAGTTCAGACTTGACCGTAGCCACCTGAATGTGTGTCCCCATACAGAACACTCTTTTCTTAGAAAATGTTAATTTAGCAGATGCAACATTCCTCAAAAAATATTTTCCCAAAGGTTTTTTACCAAAACCTTTTGAGAGAAACCACAAAGAAGAGCATATGTCAGTTTCAGCTCTTCAATTACTTGAACATAAGAATTATCCTTTTCAGATTCATCCCCCTAGCTGTTCCCTAGCAAAACAGGCAGAGGTAAATATTCAGAAAGCTGCTTCCCAGTTAAACTTGTTTGAAGTGGTTGGGTTCCCAAGCTCACATCACCTAGACTTCCAGTGATATTTCTTTCAAGCATCAGGCAACTGAAGTGACCTTGAGAAGGAATGTCCCCAAAAAGAAATTATTCTTCAACACACATCTTTTCCTGCTTTCTGTTTAAAGCAGGATGAACATATTCTCTTCCTGGTTCACCCTGTAGCCTAAGAAGTCCCACAGGAACAAAATGCTGCTTTCATTGAGCAGGAACAGGGGAAACAAGGTAAAAACTAAAGCACAGGATCACTTTTTATAGCACAAAAGCACCATGAGTATTCCCAGAGCCACTCACCAAACCAGCAGTAAGGGAAGGAGCAGATTGTCCCAGAGACTGATTTCTCATGCGGACCAGGTTGGAGGTGTCTCCAGGAGGCTGCCACAGCGTCTGCCCCACTCCACTGTGGACACTATTGGATAAGGGAAGTAGCTGTTTTCCTTTAAAAATAAAACCAAAATACCATCAGCTTGTTTCTAAACAAGTCTGCAAGTTCAAGATACAAAGCTGAGAACAAATACAGCATGTGAAGAAAAAGCAATTAATAAAAAAAGCAACTTCAAGATTTTGGTAGGTTAAAACTTGTAAGAGCGCCTTACCAGTAAATTCATTATGTTTGATAACTAACAATTTCCAAAAAAATCTACTTTACTTTATGAGATAATGGGACAATCCAAAAACCTTGTAAAAACAGACTGTTATGACTTTAAATTTCCATATTCCACTCACCTTAAAAAGGAAACAATATTTGCTGCCCTAAAGAAAGGCAAAATCTCTTTAGTCTAATTTTAAAAATTCTTTTGAAAATACATTCCTAATTGTAAAATATTGTCTCCTCTAAAATAGCTTGGTCATGTAGACATCCCCACTTTCTCCTACCACTGGAACACTGAGCATTGCATTCCACACAGCTGTAACATAATACAGTGTATGTTTAAATATTGTCTTGCTTTGAACAATGGATGGATATTTTTTGCTCAATACATATTTTCTAGTCAATGCAACACTTGTTTTTGAAAAATGTCAAGCAGTAAATTTCCGCAAAGAGAAAGAACCAAAGTCAAAGTAGGTCATATTTTGACTGCACAGAGCTTGACAGCTTCCTTTTATGTACAATGTCATCCACAAAGAAAAAAGAGAAGATATTTCTGTGGTTAAAAACACATAAGTGAAGAAGTCTGTGAATGTGGGTTCAGTTATTAGCTTCCAGATGACTTACTCTGTAAGTTTGGTCAGTCAAGCCCTGTACTGCAATTTCCCCATTGCAAAATGGAAGTGGATAATACCTCTTTTCCTTAAAATTAGGACTATGGGACTAAATAACACACCCCCTCCCAAGCATAGTAAAGATTCTTGCATTCAATGGATTTTTACTACATGCTCAGGAATCACAGGGGACTGAGACATTTATTGCAGTAAGCAGCAGGAAGGCTACACCTTTAATCACAAATATGCTGCAGAAAAAGACTTGTTCTCTCAGAGGTAGAAAGGTGTTTACAAATTCAGCTGCACCTTAGAACTACAAGTGAATTATTACATTCATTCCATAAAAGTGGCTGCAATATTTGGAAGACTGTCACATAATGTGACCAGCCACGATGCTGGGGAAAGGTGTGGAGTGGAAGTGGTGTGGGTTTTTTTTCTTTTTTTAACTTGTAAAGATTAATTTTCTGTGATAGTTACAGGCAATGGGCCAAGTATACACCAAGAGAACGAGACAAAGTGTATGAGAGATGAGCAGGCTCAACTTTGTCAAGCAAACAGAAACACAACATATTAGTACCCTCTTCCTGGTCCCACTCAAGCTGCTTACAGCATGATTTTTATGGCTTGATCATTTTCAAGACAATGTATAAATACAACTCATCGGCAGAGAACTAAAACTACAGAAATGTACATTGCTGTTCTTATCTCTATACAGCACTAACAAAGATACCCTGTAATAGCAAGTCAAATAATATCATTATCTAGCAGTCTAAAATACCCATGCTTGAGGACAAGAATAACTTTATTTAAGTCTCTATAAGATATAGTTATATCTCCTTTTAGTTCCACAAAACCTGAATCCAGGAGGGCAGAATTCCATCAAGAGTCAAATCTCAGCCAATCAGTCATCTGCATTCTTCAAACTTATTTGATTCTGTGGCAAAAATTAGCAGGAATCATTTTAAGGATGGAACTTGAAGCTAAAGCCTTTCCCTGTCATGCCTCAAGTTCTACACACATTCCAAACACCTACATTGAAAATAAACATCTAAACCTGTACATTTTCTCTACCCAGTTGGGTCAGACTGATCTTGTTCAGGCTCTTTACCCCTTCCTGAATCAAGTATAGTAGACTGAAAAGTAATCAAGATGAATCAACAGGTTCTGGAGAATATAGAATTTATTGTTCTGAAATTACATTCTCCAAACAGAAAAATTGTTTTTAAAAGAGAACAGACCTTCCAGTTTTCCTGCCTCCTCCTACTTACTTTGCTTTCTTCTACTCAAAGTTTAAGAAAAAGCTACAGTACTAACTTAGGCCATTGCAGGCAGTCAACAGCTGTGTGGTTCATAAAGTTCTGTTCTTCTCTAGTGATTAACCTACCTTGGAGAACAAACTCACACATGTACAAAACATTATGAATGTTTCCATTTTTCAAAAACTATCCATGTACTACAAACAAAACACTAAGCCAAGGCCAACCCAAAATAAAATATACATAATTTACTGCTTATTTAATTCTATTACACCTAACACCTCAAACATGAAAATATTTATCTTCCTCTGATAAAAGACGAGGGACTAGGACTGGATGTATTTCCACAATCATATAAATCAAAAAAGGTGGTTTCACCTTCTTCCTCTTTCTCTCCCACTGAAAATTTTCAACTCTTCCAGTTCTTGCACTAACATGCAAATAGGCAAGCAGCTTAATTAGGGAGGAAATGGGCTGCAACTCAACCCTACAGAATAACAGTGGCATTCGGGTGTATCAGCTCTTTCATTCTAGACTGATCATGCAGCTCTCTGTGCTCTATTCCAGCATCACAGACTCTGGTATCAGTTTTAAACAGTTGTGAAACCATCCCCTAGCCCACTAACAAAGACTTTGAAAAAAACGAAAACTACTGAACTTGGTCCATTTTTGGGTAATTACTTGCCTATGCTCACTCCAATGATTCTACAGCTGACAAACTAAATTTAATTACAAGGCTAATATCATGTTCACAAGAAAAAACAAATTTTACATGAACTGAAAAAACATCAAGTTAGTAAACAAGACTTTTTTACTTTGAATGACAATTTCCTACAGTGCTTTTGAAGCCAAAAAGAAACTAAATAGTAATTTAAACATGATATAAAAAGTTTCCCAGTAAGAAACAAAAGGGCAAAGTGGGCAAATTTACATTCAGTGCTGATGTTAAAAGGGGTAAGAATACACCAGTGTGTCACCTAAAGTTCCACAACTCCATTCTTTAACTTTGCATATTAAATCTTAGCTTTCAACTTTTCACTCTGGGCAATATACAAAATTTCACTCTAAATCCAGGCTTTTTCTCTCTTCTCTACTGATATTTCTTTTTTCATCTTTCTCTTACATAAAATTTTGTATGTCCTGCCAACAAGAGGTCACCTTACCAGTGACTTACCAGTATCTTTTATTATGACTGTTATGCCAACAATGCTGCATCTTTAACACTAACCAAGTGTCATTCTGTCTTTTCAAAATGGCATACCTGACAAAGAACTTGCCAAGCTACCTCTTCGTAGCTTGCAGTCATCTTGACTTAGCTGACGGTGCAGCTTGGTTTTCCCAGCAGATGAAAAGATGTCAGGATTGCTGAGCTTCCTGCAACGCAGTGGAGTGGACTCTGTTATCATCTCCTGGAGGAAGAAACACATGCAAAACTTTGTTAATGCCAGCCAAGTGTCCCCTGTCTGAAACATGCAATCACCAAAGCATAAAGAAGACTGTTTAAAAAAATACAAAGAAACACACCCCAGCCCAAAAAAAAAAAAATAAAAAAAAAAAAAGAACCAAAACAACATTTAACATCCCCCTCGTGCCCCATAGCTGCAGAGAAAGCACATCACAAGGTCCCTGTCAACTTTGGTCCTTGAACACCACTGCTGCAAGAAATACCATTAATAATAGTCAGAAAAACACAATTATGCTACAGCAGTTCTTTTCTCTTACAGTATTTAGGACAAAATGGTACTGAAAAAACAAGCTCAGCTTTGATTAAAGCTATTTCTTGCTAAAGCAAAAGTACTTTCTCCAATCTTCTTCAATCTTTATTCCATCCAGCCTATGAGTAATATACCTATAAAGAAACTGTTGCAATGTCTATTGCAACCCAAAGCTCCTATTATAAAGTTATAGCTCTACGAAGAGCATATGCATAACTAAATAATAACTAGGATAAGGATCAGCCTTTGTGTCATGTCTTTGTTATTACTACAAACAAAATTAGACATGTATTTGTCAGAAACACTCCCACATGTGAATTCCTTTCACAGCATACAGCAAAATTTCAGTCAAAATAGCGTAGGCAGAGCAGTGTCAAGCACAACCACTTGTGAGTGCTTTCCTCATGTTTTTCATTGTTCTGGAGGTGTCAAACTCTCATTCCAGACCCAAAGAAGAGCAACAAGCTTTGCTATCAGATATGGATTTGAAGAGGTGACACTTTCCATTACAGCCCATATAGATGAACTGTTCAAGTTCTCCCTTCTCTGCAGAGTGAAACACCCCACTTGTTTTAATGGACTCCTCCATTTTACTCCAAATGCCTCTCCTTAGCTATACAGCACTTCAAGCCATGCTTATCCTCATAAAAATCTCATCTGAGGCAGAAAAAAATCTTTCCCTGCATGATACATGTCCAGATGATTGAACATAGTTTTAAATATGTTTAAATCAAAAACTAGTTTACCAGTTATGGTTTTTAATTAAAATTTGCAGATTCATGTAAAAATCTATTTCTAAAGTCATTAATTCAAATCTATTCAGTCTACAGTGTTATGCCTCAAACTGTCAAATCCAGACCAGGAGTACACACTTTAAAAACCTCAAGGGGAAGGGAGGGGAGGGGAAGAAGATGAATAAAGTGGTTTTATATGAAAAAAAATTATTTGGGATTTGAAATAAAATTCTTATTTAGTTCTGAGTCCCTCATTCACAACCTTTCTTAGACCCCCATCTCTTTCTAATCATGAAACCTTTTGGCACCTCATAATACTGAGTAACTTTATTATTGTTCAAGGGACAGCAGTGCTTTGCTGCACATCAGCCTCAGTGGTGCACCTTTCCCAGGCTGCTCTGGATACAATTTCTGCTCTGGTTCTGGTCAGACTTTCAGTCGCCGCAGGGTCTAAACCAGAACTCAGTTCACACAGCTGCAAACAGTTGTGCTGATGCAAGAAAGGGGAGGCTCAAAAACAAGTGACCGGGGGGGATGGAGAACACTGCTCAGCTGAAAAACTGTTTAAATCTTATGGTTCCTTGTGCATATCTTGGAGCAAAGAGCATCACATTTTCATTTGTCTCTGACCGTCCCCACAAAGGTACTGAAGTCCTTTATTTGCAGCAGCCTGCACTCTTCTCCTTTTCTGTCATTTGAAGGGCTGAAAAGGCATCTACCTGTCTTTCTCTCTGTACTTGGGAGTAAGGTAAATAATGTTAAATTGCAGCATTAGCAGTCCCCCAGTACAGGGAACTCTGAAATCTGCAGAGGCCAAGGGCAGAGATCTGCTGTTTCTATTCAGGATGGCAGAACATGTTTATATTTGTGTATATTACTCTAAGTAGACATACAGAAACTTTTAATAAGGCCTGTCCTTTGCCTATAATGTCTGAAATCTGGCACATGTTAACCATCTGTGACAGTCTGAAATTACCACACCTCAAATAAAAAAAAAAAAAAAAAAATTACGTAAGAACTTCATTCAGCCTACCCTCTCACACTCCCTATGCTTCAATTCCAAATATCCCCAGCATCCTTCAGTATCCGGCTACTTCCCTGAAACTAGTTATGTGTTGAAAGGCTCTGTGCTCATCAGCAGCAGTTAAAATTAAAATGTCAAAGATTAACTTAAAGTGAAGAGCTCTAACTGGAACATCTTTCTTCAAAGAGGTTCTTGGGGGTGTTTGTTGGTGTTCTAGAGGTTTCATTTGGTTTGTTGTTTTGGTTTTTCCCCTGCAGGTGCATATTCCCCTCCCCTTCAATACACACACACAAACAAACACACACACACAATTCTCACCAATTATTCTCAGTGAGCTGCAACTAAATAAGAACATTCCAAGTAAGGGAAAGGCACTGAAGTAAAAAAAAAAAAAAAACTCTAAGTCATGTGACAAGCAACTTCTGTGTTTTACATGTCTCTTTCTCCACAATATACAGACACTGCTTACCAGGCAAGGAATGTGCCCACTTCCCTACCCTTCCCCTTTTTCCTCTATGCACAGTCTCCATTTATTGGCAAAAGTAATTACAAATTCTTAATGTGTCTTCTTGAGTTACAGTACACAAGTCTTGTAGCTCTGATAATATCTAAATCAAAAGCTCCCCAGCTGAAGGGCACACTACTCCTAGCACAGCTCTGATCAGCTCCAGCACCCTGCCCACGCACACTTTGAGGTCAGCCCAGTGGCATCAGCTACTTCTCAAAAAGCCATTCCCTGTGACAGCTGTCCCCAGGTTCAACTTTCCACCAAAACTTCTGCTACAGAGATAAGAAAGGAATAGTAGAAAGGTAAAAAACAGCTTCCCACACTCACCAAAGAATCCAGGCTGTCTTCTAGACATAATGGATTTGGCACATATTACATATGGAAACCTCTTCATGAACCCTTTTCTTGTTAAGCACATTAAACACTTGGGCAATATTCAGAAGACTACATAAGTGTTAAATGCCTGGAAGAAAGGGCCTCCAATCACATTCTGCAGGTTTATATACTGTTTAAGTCACTTTTCAAACAGATATTTTAAAAGTTTTTTTAAAAGTGCACTGTTCTGAGACATCCTATTATGTTTTTAAAAATGCTAAGTGCAACACAGCCAATTTAAAATTTCATTTTCTAAGAGCTGTGCCCATATTGTGTCAGTAAAACAATGAAGAGGGAAAGTTTTAGCTTGATAACAATAGAGCTGTCTTCCATAAGACTGCAATTTACTTCACTCATCCATCAAAACCTTGCTTTGATATTGCAGATCACAGATGAACTGCATGAAAATAGCAGTAGATGACATTACCATTCTCAAACAAGGAAGGAAAAAACTAGAGGAAGAGATCTTTCCCTGTCCTTGCCCCAAAGCAATGCATAAAAAGAACACAAAAATCTTACACAACATTCCAAACTGATGAATAAAGAAACTCTTTGCAGTGGTAGAGCAAAATTTTGCTGACATGCTTTCAAACTAGTAAATTAATCTATCCAAGCAAGTGGTTGAAGAATAGATTACATAGAACAAACTGCCACAATTTTAAGTACTCCACTTCCACTTTTCAAAAGAAAAAAATTTACAGCCCTAAAGATGAAAGCATTAGTAAGCACGTAACACTTTGCTCACAGCGTGTGAAAAGGACTGTGACCCTCTGTCCATTCATTTCTTTTCAAAGGTGATAAAGAACTTAATTTACTTTGGGCTTGTGGCTTTTGCCACAAGCTAAAAATCAGGTTCAAACAGCCAGCTGATTCCTGCAAAGCTTAGGGTTGAAGATAAAAGCATCACATAATCTTGATTTGCTAGGCAAAATTTATTGTTATCACTCCCTACCAAGGTAGACAAAAGTTTGCTCACATAACTTGAAATAAGAAGAATGGCCAAAGGTTTTCTTGACTATCAAGAGACTCTGAATTTCTCAGCTCAGTCACTTACCACACTTACACAGAAAAAGCACTAAAAGAGTTCTGATATTGGAATAAGTCTGTTCCTCTTGCCTGAAATCTCACATTGGGGTTTATCACACTCAGCTGGATGGGAGAACCAGATTGCCACAGGGGATGCAGACAAAAGACAAGAAGCCAAACATGCTTCTCAATTTGCCTGATCACTAAATCCCCTGTTAAAATCCTGATCTGGTAATTTCAGAAAACAGCTACAAGGATCCTCCTCAGCCCTCACTGCACAGGAAGAGTTCCAAGCAATTAAAGTAGGATATAAAAAAACAAGCACTAAACCACTGCAAGGATTGTCAGAAGCTCTTTTGTTTAACCATTGTTCATTTAATGGTGCTGCAAGAGAGCAGCACAGGTCTTTAATCTCCAGAAGGCAGGTGAATACTGCAGGTGTGGATTTGTGTTTTGCTTCGACTGCCAGGTGAAGCATCACACAGTCAGCAAGACTGATACATCAGACCAATGCTGGGATAAAGCTTCTCAAGCCCTGCTTTTATGGCCTATATTTAAGAAGTAACAGATCATGCAAAGCGCACTTCCTTGCATGTAACTGTGTTGTAATTAAATCAAACACAAACTGCCTCCCAATCTCTATGACAAGCAAAAGAACTCAATTGTGACTGACAAATATTCAAGTCTGCAGGTCAAAATATGTTAAACTGTTAGCCAGGGGGTGGAGAATCTACACAAAAATTTTCTATGAACAGGAAATCCATTAGTAAGAAAAATGAGAAACCTTTCTTATGAAGCCTAACAAGCAAAACCTTAGGTCATCTGGAAGTGAATCCTAGCAAACAGTTGGAAGGAAGAATGAAAATTTAACTACAATAAACTGGCCAAGAATTCACTGTTATTAGCCCATCTTGTAAGGAATATAACCAATGAGCAATGTAACTTGAGGGTAACTCAAGTTACTTTCCGAACACTTTCTGAATTTTTTGAAAGCACCAAAAATAGTCAACATTGAAAGCTGCATTTT